GTGGTGGGTGAGCGTGACCAATTAATGAAATAAAACAATGCTAGCCTCTATTTACTCTAGTGACCCAAAAGGTAGACCACAGTTATCTTGGAGCACTAGTCAGTATTGACCTGCTTTCCCAAACCCTTCCTTTTTTCAGATATCTTGTTTAAGGAGTGGAGGCTGGCTGTAAAAGAAGCATGAATATATAATAAGGTGGGAAAGGGAAGAAGGCTCAGTTTTTTTAATGTTTATTTATTTTTGAGAGAGAGACAACACAGAGTGTGAGCAGGGGAGGAGCAGAGAGAGGGAGACACAGAATCTGAAGCAGGCTCCATGCTCTGAGCTGTTAGCACAAAGCCCGATGCAGGACTCTAAGCCATGAACCTTGAAGTCATGACCTGAGCCAAAGTCAGATGCTTAACCAACTGAGCCACCCAGATGCCCCAGAAAGGGTTAGTTTTAAATGAAGTCTGGAGTTCACTGAATGTTAAGGCTGTGGATCCTCAGGGAGCCATCCTTTTTTAAGAAATACTACCTGTTTTCTAAACTCCTTTGTATTCAGTTTCCCAAATCTGAAACACGCACACAGACACCTACACACACTGTTCCTTCCTTATAACCTAACTTTTGGGGCCTTATTGATCCAGTGAGGACTATTTGTTTTATTTTAACCATGATTTGGATTTGATTGTAACCTCCAGTCTTCCTGTCTCATATCCCCCAGACCCCCAAATCCAGGGTAATCTTCAGGTTAGTGTTTGTCCTAAATTCAAGAAAAAGGGAGAAAGTCCTTTTAAAGTATTCCAAATTATAAACCATTCTATTTTCACTAGGTGTTTTTGATATCCCAGATCAACAATGTGGTATTCAGAAAGTTTTTTTTGTACCAACCTGCACAATAACCTAATTAGGTTTCTCTGGGAAATAGTTTTTCACAGTGGGAAGAACAAAGACTTTGCTTGGAGTCAAATATACCTTGGTTCGCATATCATCTGTGTCACTTAATAGTTAACTCTTACTGAGCCAGACATAGTTATCGATGTGTTGGAGAAAGGAGAGAAGACAGCCATCTACAAGTGATAAACTTATGCAGCTTCTTTAATTCTCTCAGTAAGATAAGTATTATTACCCTTTTTATAATTGGGGAAACAGGAACAGAGATTAAGCAATTTGCCCAAGGTTACTAAACTGGCCATTGGCAGAGCCAGGATTTCAACCCTGTAGGTCTGGCTGCAGAGTCCTTACTGTTAACCAGTGTGCTATACGACTTCTTTATAGTGAATCTTTTAACTTTTGGGGCGCCTGGGTGGCGCAGTCGGTTAAGCGTCCGACTTCAGCCAGGTCACGATCTCGCGGCCCGTGAGTTCGAGCCCCGCGTCAGGCTCTGGGCTGATGGCTCGGAGCCTGGAGCCTGTTTCCGATTCTGTGTCTCCCTCTCTCTCTGCCCCTCCCCCGTTCATGCTCTGTCTCTCTCTGTCCCAAAAATAAATAAAAAATGTTGAAAAAAAAAATTTAACTTTCATAACAATCCTAAGAGGTTAGAGTGAGACCCACTTTATAAATAAGAAAACTGTGGCAAAGAAGGTAATTTGCCCAGTTTTGTTTGAGATTAGAACTTTGGCAGTCTGACTCCAGAACTCATAAATCGTCACACTATACGGTCTGACTTAAGAAGAATTATTGAAGATTTCTGAGCTTCAGTATCCACATTTACGGAGTGAGATAATAGTACATCATAGAATCGTTAAGAGGATTCAGTAAAATAATATTGAGGTGTTTAGGTTTCGTGAATGCTAAATGGATGTGTCCCCTGTCTCCGTGGAAAAAATAATTTCTGAGCTCCAACCTAATTAGAGACTTTAAAAACACAACTCATTCATTATCTCTTAGGCTGGTTAATTATGTGCTAAAGCAGTGTAATTAAACCTGAAAAACTGTTTTTCTTCAGGGATCTGGAGCTTATATACCTCCACCAGAATCTGTTGTCATGAGTACTTCTTTCTAGCTGGTCAAGTCCCCTTAGAGGACTTTTGTCTTTCCTAAATCTTTATATGTCAGTATCTGCCTTGATATTTGGCCTTGTTTATTCATAGTTTGTTCATTTTCTGTCGTTAACGTTTGGGGCATGGTTTGAACTCCAGTTATGCTTTTCTCTGGCGAGGCATATGTAGATGCTGTTGCACTTTTGATACTGATTTCTTTTTATCTAGGGTTTTCCATCTTCCCTGCCCCCCATGAGAGCTCACTTTTTGTAAAAGGAAAGTATGGCATTTCACACTAGTTGATGTATGTCCTCACCTCTCTTCATATGTCACGTTATACTTGACCATCTTTTCTTCTTACTGAATTGAATGTTAAATTTTCTTACCTAAAAACAAGGAAAACCAGCCATTAAAAAACTCAATTTCAGCTTGTATGTACCTTCTTTTTAAAAAAAAATTTTTTTTAATGTTTTTTTTTTTATTTTTGCGACAATGCAAGAGACAGAGTGCAAGCTGCGGAGAGCAGGTAGAGAGAGACACAGAATCTGAAGCGGGCTCCAGGCTCTGAGCTGTCAGCACAGAGCCCAATGCGAGGCTTGAACTCAAGAACCGTGAGATCATGGCCTGAGCCGAAGTTGGACACTTAACCAATTGAGCCACTCAGGCTCCCCACCTTCTGTCTTTTTTTTTATATATACATAGGTTATAGAAAATTCATGTAGAATTTTGTAATATGGGATATTAAAACACGAGAATAGAAATTTAAGTAGGGGAAAGTGAGATTTTGATACATGGATGGATATAGGTGTGATGAATGAATAAAAAGAGAACTTTGTAGAGCTAAACCCCTCTTCAACTTATAGTCTTAAGAACATTGATCTATTTTATTGATTCTGAGATTCTGCAAAGTTATGTTGTGTTGGAATGTCTTCACATACTTATCCTATCAATACTGTTGTTCTTTTCCAACTTGTCCACATAGGTATTCTTTACCTATAATACTTTCTTCCTATTATCTTGTCCCTTTCCTCAGAAATAATACCAAAATAAAGGCTTCAAAATAGTCCATTTATTTCAGACTAAATTCCTCTCAGAGGGTCTCAGGTCCCTTTCAAAAGTAAAGACCTTTTTGCCTCTTCTTCCTTTTTCAAACCCACCCATAACAGAGAATGAGAAAGAGATGCAAACTCCATTTTAAAATTAAACATCTAGGGGTACCTGGGTGGCTCAATTGTTTAAGTGTTCAACTTTGGCTCAGGTCACAATCCTCATGGCTTGTGAGTTCAGTTCTGCTTCGGGCTCTCTGCCTTGAGTGTAGAGCCCGCTTGAGATCCTGTGTCTCCCTCTCTCTCTCTGCCCCTTCCCCACTTGCATGTGCTTTCTCACTCTCTCTCTCTCTAAAAAATAAACACTAAAACAAATTAAACTTCTATTTCAACCTCAACCTACAAAGTTTGGTAGTGTATGGATAAGTGGGTAACTGGCTCAGTAGAACAGAGCATTCAGGCCTGAGTGCCACCTAGGATTGTGTCATTAAGAACCAAGTGGATTTGCTCTGCAGAATTCTGGAAAAACTCAATAATGGAAGGCACTGGTTAATGCAGAAGATGAGAGGCTGGAAACTGAGGGTTACAAGTCTTAGAAGTAGCTGATGGTTCTTATCTATGAAGACTAAGCCAGATAATTTTCCCAATGAGAAATCAGGGGTGGAATAAATCAAGAAGCCTCTGTTTCTGGAACTCTAGGCACAAAGGAGGTGGAGGGGAGAGTAGGAGTGGGGGTGGTTAAAATATGAGACTGAAAGGAATCTGTGCAGTGAAATGAGCTAAGAGCTAAGAGCTAAATGAGCTCTCTCACCTGCTCTCTTCTCAAGATCTTTAGTCAGGCTTAATGCACTCCTAGGCAGAGGATCCTTCTGAGAAACAGAAAAGCCATTTAAAAAAAAAAAAAAAGACTTCAGATACCAGTATTTGGTGATTTCCTGATAGCCTTGCCACCCATTCATCTAAGGATGGAACCCACACAGCAAGCCTCCTGTATTAGTTTCCTAGGGCTGCTGTAACAAATTGCCACAAACTGGGTGACTTAAAACAACAGAAACTTATTTTCTCACAGATGTGGAAGCTAGAAGTCTAAAATCAAGGTGTAAACAGGGTCATACTCCCTCTCAAAGCTCTAGGAAAACATCTTTTCTTGGGTCTTCCAAGATTCTCGTGGTTTCTGGCACTCCATGGCATTCCTTAGCTTATACCTACTCAAATACACACTCAGACTTGTAGAGTGGCTTCTGAATGTTTTTGTACTAAATGCTTATGAATAGATAGCCAAAGATCATTAGTGCCTTGCACATAATAAGCATTCCATATGTGATAGCTGCTATCATATTAATAGCTTTCACAAATTACTATATTAATATTCCAAATTTAAATAAGGTATCGCTTTTAGTTAGGTATACCTCAATTTTAGTATTTCCATATTAACAACAGCTAGGAATGTGTACGTTTCAGTAATTTGAGTTCTATAAATTTAACTGTTTTGAAGGTCTCCTGGCTGGCTCAGCATGCAACTCTTGATTGTGGGGTTGTTAGTTTGAGCCCCACATTGGGTGTAGAGATTACTAAAAATAAACTTAAAAAAAAGTTGTTTTGAAAAGATAACTTACCGGGGCGCCTGGGTGGCGCAGTCGGTTAAGCGTCCGACTTCAGCCAGGTCACGATCTCGCAGCCCGTGAGTTCGAGCCCCGCGTCAGGCTCTGGGCTGATGGCTCGGAGCCTGGAGCCTGTTTCCGATTCTGTGTCTCCCTCTCTCTCTGCCCCTCCCCCGTTCATGCTCTGTCTCTCTCTGTCCCAAAAATAAATAAAAAACGTTGAAAAAAAATTTAAAAAAAAAAAGAAAAAAAAAAAAAAAGAAAAGATAACTTACCAAAACAGAACAAAACAGTGCAGAACTTAATGTATCTTATGCAGTATTTCCCAAAATGTGTTCAGCACTACATAATCCTGTAGGATACTCTGAGAAGAATGCATTCTGAGGTAAAATAAGATGTGGAATTGCTCCTAACTATATCCCTTCTGGTAAAGACTCTAAGATATTGTACGCTTAAGAATTAAAAATACTGTTAACCAAGCATTTTCCTAAACTTACTTGACTGTAGGTCATCTTGTCATGTATCACAATTCTGCACATCCAGAATTTATATTCAGAAACAGACTTTGGAAAAAGCATCATAGAGTAACAGGTTTAGTAATGATAAGTATGTATTAAATTGTAAAGAATCCTGGGTCATATGTTGCCTTGACTTGATGTTTTAGCGTTTTGCATGTCTATATAGCATAAGAAGGAATAGTTTTCTTACCAATAATTAAATGAAAGAATGACTTTTAGATATGACTGAAAAAAAAACAGATAAAAAATAATATAAATTGCTAAGTTATTTCTGTACTCTTTTTCATTCAGGATAAAACTTTTGGTCTAAAGAATAAGAAAGGAGCAAAGCAACAGAAATTTATCAAGGCTGTCACTCACCAAGTTAAGTTTGGTCAACAAAATCCACGTCAGGTAAATAACTTAAATTTCTGCATTTTCTTCATATGAATGTAATAAGGCATCTGTTACAGATAAAAGTATTCGGCATGGTAATTGTATTTCAAAATGTAATCCTCCTCTAAAACTTTTCTGCATCTTCCCTTTGTTACTCAGCAATACCTCTTAGATATTCCTCCAAGCCATTTTGATATAGCTCTAATTTATTCTAATGGCTGCGTACTGTTCTAGGATGTGGATGTACTATATCCATCTGTTTCAACTATTTGTAAATGATCTCTTTGTTTCCAGCGTTTTGACACTAAGAACAATTCTGCAAGAAGTATCCTTGTACATGTGTTCTTCTAGGCATTTGTGCTTTTTTTTCTGTGGCGTAAATTATCTATGACACATTTCTAGATCAAGGGAAATGGATTTCATTTTTTCTTCCAAAGGAAATGGATTTCTAATTTAATAAATTATGTCCCTTTCTGTAGAGATTGTAATACTTCACATTTTCATTTTCAGTACATGAGTTATAGATACTAAAGTTATTTTTAAGGTTTTCCAATCTGGTAAGTGTAAAATGAGATCTCATTTTTACTTTGTTTCCCTCACTACTAGGAGTTTGAGTATCTTTTGGTTTGGTTTGGTATGTTTTTGTTTTGTTTGAGTATCTTTTCATATGGTTGTTGACTGTCTGGGTTTGTACTTTTCTGACTTGTCTATTCATATCCTTTACTTTTCTGGATGTCTTTTTCTTGTCATTTATGAGAGACACTTTATGTCTGCATTATAGATAATTTGTGATGTTTCTATTATATCTGCTATACAACAATTTTTACTTTTTGTATTGTTAGATATGTCTAGATTTTTTAAATAATCTGCACTACTAGATCATGTATGTTTTCTTACAGTCTATAATTTGTCATAAATTTTTATGTCACAAAGTTAATTTTCTTTCAAATGAATAGCCACTCATACCAGCATCATTTACCACTGAATTGAGATACTACTATTGACATATAGTAAAGTCTCAAATATGTTAGGATCCATTTCTGGATTCTCTTTTATGTTCTATTTATTATATGTCCATAAACTAGTGTCACATTGATTTTGATTCTTGTGGCCTACTAACATATTCTATTAGATAATAAAGGGAGTTCTTTCCCCCAGATGTTACTTCTTTTATATTTTTCTTGGCCAACTTAGGCATTTATTCTTCATATGATTTTGAAATAATTGTATCTATTGGCAGTGCATTCAAAAAAAGTTAGTCCCTTTTCTTCAAGTTATTTAAATCTTTCACTTTCTTGAATTTAAGATTTTACAGACCTGCATCTTTACTTTTAAAATGTACTTTTTTCACCACTCTGTCCTTTTTCTTAACTTTTGGAAATACTTTTCTTTTCATTTGTGATATCAGAATATATATTTGTGATCCCAGTCTGAAACAAATTTCTGTCACTCAGATTATCTCTTTAAATTAGTGCCTCCAACATAGAGACACAGCCAAAAACTATTAATCTTCCATGGTGCTAATTTAGTAGCCTGGTTTAATAAAAACTCATGCTGAGATCTTGGAGTCAGATCAATTTGGGTATGAATTCCCCTATCTTCTTTGTTATATGATCTCAAGTTATTTAGCAACACTGGTCTTAATGTGTACAGTGGAAGGGCACTTACCCTCGTAAGGTTCCTATGGTGGTTAAATGAGAACATAACATAAATCTTCTGGTGTAATACAGGTGTGTGGAAATAATTCACTTTTCTTCCCTTATCCCTTTTTTCAATCCTATTCTGCTCTCCATATTTTCACTTGTGGGAAGTATATTGACTGGTAATTTTATATTTCATAGACCTGAGAAAGTCATAACGTTCGTGGTGGTGGTAATTGGGATTCGTAGTACATTCAGGATTATATTTTTTGATAATTTCTTGGGTACCTGGGCTTTTATCTGTGAAATGAGCAGCAGTCCTGCTGTTAGAGCCAGGCAATAGGCACCCTACTGTAGGCCTTGTGTTGCAGAGGATGACCCTACTCTTTTGCCTCCAGACATAGCTCTCCCACAGGCAAAGAGTCAGTGAGGTCAAGGGAATTTGTACCATCTCTCTCCACAATAGTTCAGGGCCTGCAGAGGTCATATTACCCATGTTTATCTTAGAGTATCCTGTGCTGCCAAGTAGCACATATGCCTGAAGTAGTCAAAGGTAGGGTGTGTGTTCACTTCAGTGACACATGTATGACAAAAGAAGGGTGTGTGCTAGGAGTGTGGACAGAACCTGAATCCACACCATATCCTACCCCATACCTTCCACCTTCATGCACTCACATGATGGGATGAAATTCAGGGTGGGAAGAGGAGGAGGAGGAAGGCGTTGACTGCTGCTTTACTGCCATGCTCCAGTGTAGAACTCCATGGAACCTGAGCATTTTAAATTTGAACCTGTCCTTCCAGGTCACAAGGTATATTTCTTAAACAGAGGTATAAACCATACTTTGTTTAGCATTAGCTTGATTTCTAACTTACAAATATTCTAACTTAAAAAAATGGTTTATGAAGCCTCCGTTGTACTCTTGCTCTAGGCCCCGTAAATGTTAGACATGTGCCTAGTGAGCAAAAGATATTTTCGTTAAGATAAAATGACTTAAATTTTTTCTTTTTAAAAAATGGTTTACAATTTTTCTGTTTAAACACATCCCATCACATCATCAAAGTCAGGATTTGGGATGTCTTTAACCTAGCATTTAGTCATTCCCTTCCTAAAATTTCTTCTTTCTCCATGAATACTTCTTTGTGCTGGATTTCTGTCTATTTCTTTGATGTTTCTTGGACCCTTTTGTAGGCTTTTTAAGGTTCTGTTGCCTCATTTAATATTGGTATTCTTCAGGGAACTGTGCTCTTGTCACTTTTTTTTCCTTGTCACTTCTTCATGCTGTCCTATCTCATATACCCTAAAGTTTTAATTATCTATAAGCTGTTTCTAAAATTTTTATTTTAAAGCAGACCCTCTCTCCAGATACCAAGATCCATGTCCACTTGCCTTCTGAGTATTAGCTCTATCCAGATGCTCTGTAAGCATCTCGCACTCAGTATGTCTAAAACTGAGCTCCTCTCTAATTTCTACCCTGAAACCTGTTCCTCTTGTATTCCCTGTCTCGTTTAACAGCACTAACCATAAATGTAATAATTCTAGACTCCACCCTCTTGGTTGCATTTTATATCTAGTCAGTCACTTAGTAGTGTCAGTTCTGCCTCTTTAAGAGCTCTCTCTCTCACTTCTCTCATCTTTTCTGCATCCTTGCTACTAATGTCTATGTTAAGCTCTTGTGTTTTCTTGCCTACAGCAGTTGCATTAGCCTCCTAATTTTCCTTGCCATTCTTTGGCTCCTTCTAGTCCACTTTTCACACAGTTGCCATTGTGATCTTTATAAAACACAGTCTGATTATGTCATTAACTTACTTTAAGCCTTTGAATTTTCCCTGTCACCTACTGATACAGTCCAAAGTTTTCATTGATGTTTCTCATACCCTGTTCCTTCTGGTCCCTGTATCTTTGCATTGGCTGGCTCTCTCTGCATTCCTTTCCTTGCTCATCAGAAGAATTCATCCATAAAGTATTAGCTCAGTCTGATTTTTATAGGCATGGAGGTAGGCATTCCTTGTTCGCAGAGAACCACATATTATATTATAGTTGTTGACATGTCTGTCTTCCCACTAAATTCTGAGCTTCTTTAAATAAGCATCTTTATCTTTTCATCTTTGTATTCCCTGTCATCTAACATAGGACCTGACATATAAATATTTGGATGAATCCTCTAATCATATTAGGTATGTAAATCGTGTGCCTGGGACTGTGTCATATGTCATATTTGTTTTGTTTAATCTCCCACATTGACCTAGCTCAGTGTTTTCCCACAAGGGTACTGTAGGTATTTTGGGTGGTACAGTTCTTTATTGCGTGGGACTGCGCATTTCCTAATGTTGGCATTTCTGATCTTCAAAACGTACCCACATGTTTCTGGGGAGTGGGTGGTTGTCATAAGAAAATCCCAGGTGAGAACCATTTACTAAAAAAGCTGGGCATGTAGCAAATGCTTAATAAATGCTTATTGCTGTAAGCTTTTGAATATGCTTTTTACTTGGCATGGTACCATTTATAAATTTTTTTAAAAGTCAACTGATATAAAATCTCGCAGTTTCGTTTAAAAGTTTAACCACACTATTTAATATATACGAAAAGCCATTGTAACACTGATACTAAGAGGTAAGGACTATGTACGTGTACATGTGTGAATGTTTTGTTATAATGTACTATTGTATAGTGAAAACAATTTTATTATATGAAATCAAATTACATATTATACCTGGGAATATTATAGGTAGCACAAAGTGAAGCTGAAAAGAAGTTGAAGAAAGATGACAAGAAGAAAGAATTGCAAGAACTAAATGAGCTGTTCAAACCTGTAGTTGCTGCTCAAAAAATAAGTAAAGGTAAACTTTAAATGTGAGGGTATTATTTTTATCAAATAATATCAAATATCAATATCAATAATATCAAATCAAATATTCATGGTTAAAAACTCTTAATTTATTTTATGAATACACAGACAAAAAAAAAAAAAATAGCAGAAACAGACCCATAAATTACAGAGAACAAACTGATGGTTGCTAGAGGGAAAGGACTGGGGGGCGATGGGCAAAAGGGTGAAGGGGAGTGGGAGGTACAGGCTTCCATTTATGGAATGAATAAGTCATGGAGATAACAGGTACAACATAGGGAGTGTACTCAGTGGTATTGTAATAGTGTTGCATGGTGACAGATGGCAGCTATACTTGTGGTGAGCATAGCATACAGACTTGTCAAATCACTGGGTTGTACTCCTGAAAATAATGTAACATTGTGTTATCAACTATACTTCAATTAAAAAAAAAAAGTCAATTTGTTTTAATGTCTATTTTCTTCAGATTATAAGCTGATGTGTCTGCTATGGAAATGATCCTTCCTTTGTCAAAATCTGTATCAGTGACTTTTTTATGAGTCCTTTGTTTATCTGCTCAGCTATGTGATTGTACAACTATAACTCCAGCTACTAGCCCCCCACTTAAGGCAAAATTAAGGATTAGACAGTCCACTAATTGATCTATAATATCCATTCTTTGGTGGTGGCCAAGGCAAACCTATGGTTCTATAAATTGTAAGTTCTAAACTCTTGGCAGTATACCTCCATGTATATTTCTCTTTTGCCTCTGCTTCATTGACTCCAACTAGACAATGACTGTGGAATGTGTAGGGGTTTGTTTGGTTTCCCACCCCTGGAAATAAGAGTAAGAACGGTAAGAATAAAAGAAACAAGTACAGATATGAAATGCTGTAGAAGGGACTTTAAAGAAATGTCTTAACAGTCACTTGTAAGTGGTATTTTCCTCTCACATCAGTGAATAGAAAAATAACCAGTTCACCAACAGTAATTATATCTCAGATAGAAGCTATACTTTGTGATCTGGCAGATTGTAATACAAATATCGTGTGCCATTTGACATAGGTGCAGATCCCAAGTCTGTGGTGTGTGCATTTTTTAAGCAAGGACAGTGTACTAAAGGAGATAAATGTAAGTTCTCTCATGACTTGACTCTGGAGAGAAAGTGTGAGAAGCGAAGTGTTTACATTGATGCAAGAGATGAAGAACTTGAAAAAGGTATTTTTTTAAGTCCTTTTCTTAAAACTGTCTTTTGGTTGTTACCAAGATATTTAGTACTTGAAGAATATTTTGGTCTTTATGAGGGCTGTGTTTGTATAGATAGATAGATAGATAGATAGATAGATAGATAGATAGATAGATAGATAAAATTGTTTTCCATAAAGCCTGAATTTATAGCATTATGTCTTGATTAAATGAATTTTGAATTTTTCTCACCCTCTCTTCCAGTACCACCTTCTTACTTGTCTAAACTACGTAGGATTTTGGTGAATAATTTCATAACACTGTTTATTCCTACCTATGGCATAATTTAAAGAAAATGTGTTAGGTCATAAGTCTTATGATACAGTTTTCTTGTTTAAGGAGATATGCAATATGTTTTGGAATCAGTAGATAAAATTATAGTATTTAGTTTTCATATCTCTTTTTATTTAGATACTATGGATAATTGGGATGAGAAAAAACTGGAAGAAGTAGTGAACAAGAAGCACGGTGAGGCGGAAAAGAAAAAACCAAAAACTCAAATAGTATGTCCTTTTCTTGAATTGAGTTGCTGTGATATTTATCATTAGGGAGAATTATGTGGCAAGGTATTTGCTGCCATTTTCTACTGGATTATTTTTTAAATTATTGGATCTTTTGATAAAGATAAAGTGCATCAAGCTTTGTTTTTGGAATTTACAAGTGTAAGTTATATAAAATTAGATTCTTAATTCAAAAGTAACCTTTGAAAACCATGTGACTAAAGTCTTCAAATACCATATTTTAAGGTGATTTTACTTTCTATCAAATATGGATGAATACAATTACATATTCAGATAAGAATTCTTTCCTTATTTTTTTGTGCAAAATGAATGGAAGGAGAATTGATAAACACTCTGTTTTAGTGGTAGGTAGACTTTAAATCAAGAAGGTTGAAAATATTGTGACATTATGAATTGCAAAATGAGCTTTGGGTAGGTAATGGCTCTAGTATTCCAGGAAATGTACTTTTAAAAATCGGTGCCTGTTTCTCAGACTTTCCATTCATGTCCACATATTTATCTGTAGGGAGGTTATGGTGAAAAACTGTGGCGTGCTAGAAAATTTCTGAATACTAGTTTAACTTATATCTGTTGTATTTTTTCGGGAAAAGAGTATTGTTTGTTAGTCAGTTTTTCTTATTTCTGAAGTTTATTACATGAGGCTTCAATACAGTTGTATCCTTTGTTGTTCCTTTTGTACCTTGCTTCCTTTCTCTCTTCATAGATGTGAGAAATTGCCTATAATTTCAAATAATTCAAATAATGTATCATTACTGCACGTAATTAGTTTTTAAGAAGGATCAAGCCAAAACAAAATCATTGGTTTTAGTTTTTTATAACCATTTATATTTTTTCACTTCTTTAAAAATCAGACTGGGTGTATATTTACAAAGGCTAAACTGAGACGTGTCCTTTTGTATAATACAGAATTTGGAACAGTGTTGAAAATTTTATGTAGATCCTCTCTAAAGGGAGTTTGCCATTGTATTAAGAATTTTAAGATTATATGTACATTTCTGCACAAAGTGTGCTCTGTACATAAGTGAGTAACATAAGGATGTGAATAAGAATGTACTTGTTCCATAAACTTCAGCATTTACCTTGGAAATGGACTACGCTGAGCCACTACTGTTGAATATTATTGTCTCTATAGGTGTGCAAGCATTTCCTTGAAGCTATTGAAAACAACAAATATGGCTGGTTTTGGGTATGCCCTGGAGGTGGTGATATTTGCATGTATCGTCATGCACTTCCTCCTGGATTTGTATTGAAAAAAGATAAAAAAAAAGAAGAGAAAGAAGATGAAATTTCATTAGAAGATCTAATTGAAAGAGAGGTAACTAGAATTTTCTGATGCTATGAAACTAAAGCAGTATTTATTGGGAAATTATAATATTTACCACTTGGGGGCATTAGCATGTTATGAAAGGGGAAAAAAAATGACTTTTTCCCAAAGTTGCCTTACTTTTTATTTAGTTTTTTTTGTATGTCTAAAATGTAAACCTAGCCATAATCGTTAGCCCATCATGACATTAATTTTGGGATTATAAAATAACTTCTAATGCTATTGGCTTATCAAAGAAATTCTTTCTGTAAGATTGATATACTAATATATTCATTAAAATAATATTCAGATTGAACTTGAAGTTTTAGATGTTTTTCCTGATGTCTTATTCTGTAGCTATTTTACTAATCAAATGTGTTAAAGGAGACAACTTCTACAGTTTTTCAATTTATGTTTTTTCATCATTCCTGGACTCAAAGCACTCACTCTGTTGATAGAGGGGAATATGTCTCATTGAAGAGAATCTTCCGCTATTCATTTCTGGCTCAGCACAAAAGAGGTTTACTCCATGAAATAGTAGACACGGCTACTGAGTTAGATATGGCTTTTGGGAGTGACAGGAAAATGTTGAGATTATTGGAAATTCTAGATTTAGGGTTGGATATTTCAAATTATATCCAGTTTTCCCTTCTTTTGGATAACCTAAATATGTTGTATAAATGTCTAAGGTTGGGCTTATATATATTTGTTCTTAAATGGTCATATTGTTTAGTGTCTCAACGGAGGCAATATGCTATAATAGAAAATACAGACTTCAGAGTCAGGTATATTTGAGAATGTTTGTATCCTAGTTCTACAACATATTAGCTGTTAACCTTTGGTAAATTTCCAATCTCTTCCTGTTCGCTTATTTGTGGGGATCAATGTGGTAGCATATGTGTATAAAGCATTCAGTACCAAATACCTGGCAGATGGTCAGCAAGTATTATTTTTCCATACATTTATTACTTGATTATTGGCTCTGAGGAGATGATGTTTTTGCTTAGTTTTTTTCCTCATCTCTTGAGGAACACAAACGAAATCTGGGTATTGTCATAGTGTTTTTCATATTTTTTGTTTTCATCAGTTAATTTACATTAAAACAATTTCTCCTGACAGGTTTTCCTCACTTTCAATTTTGAAAAGAAATCCAGCTCAGGATAATATATTTTACTGCATTTAGAAATGTTTGTTTTTCTGGGGCACCTGGGTGGCTCAGTCGGCTGAGCATCCAGCTCTTGATTCACCTTAGGTCATGATCTTAGAGTTTGTGAGATCAAGCCCTGCATCAGATTCTGTGTTTACAGCATGGAGCCTCATTGAGATTCTGTCTTCCTCTCTTTGTTCCTCCCTCACCCGCACGCACGTTTGTGCTTTCTCAAAATAAACATTAAAAAAAATAAACATTAATGTTTCTCAAAATAAACATTAAAAAAATGTCTCTCTGGACACTCATTTTGCTCATTGCTACATAAAATGAAAATGAATCAATTTATTCTAAATTTGATGTCTTAACAGTCACAGGTAAAGACTTACTTGCATTAAGAGAAAACTCTTAAATACTATTAAAGGTGATTTGGTGGGGGGAAAAAAAACAACTCTTTTCTCTTTGCAGCGTTCTGCCCTAGGTCCAAATGTTACCAAAATCACTCTAGAATCTTTTCTTGCATGGAAGAAAAGAAAAAGACAAGAAAAGATTGATAAACTTGAGCAAGATATGGAAAGAAGAAAAGCAGACTTCAAAGCAGGGAAAGCATTAGTGGTATGTCCCAAACTCACCCGAATAGATTCTTTATTCTTTCTTTCATTTTATAATTTCTGTGCCATGCAAAATTTATTGTAACTTAATCATGTGTATGTCTGAAATCAGTAACCAAGAAATGTTTGAAATTTGCCCTGAGTTGATATGTTTGTGTACCTGAATAGATTAGTGGTCGTGAAGTGTTTGAATTTCGTCCTGAACTGGTTGATGATGATGATGAGGAAGCAGATGATACCCGTTACACCCAGGGAACAGGTGGTGATGAGGTAAGAGGAAGCTTTGGCACTTCTGCTCATGTTGATGGAGAGAGCCGATAGAAGGTAACAGAGTAACATGGGTTAAGAGTAGCAACACTGGGGGGCGCCTGGGTGGCGCAGTCGGTTAAGTGTCCGACTTCAGCCAGGTCACGATCTCGCGGTCCGTGAGTTCGAGCCCCGCATCAGGCTCTGGGCTGATGGCTCAGAGCCTGGAGCCTGTTTCCGATTCTGTGTCTCCCTCTCTCTCTGCCCCTCCCCTGTTCATGCTCTGTCTCTCTCTGTCCCAAAAATAAATAAACGTTGAAAAAGAAAATTTAAAAAAAAAAAAAAAAAAAAAGAGTAGCAACACTGGGACATTGGTTCAGATCCTGACTCTAACCTGAGAAATTACCTATACTATAGGTCTCCACACTCTTCTATAATAGAGACATGCAAGGTACTTGTGAGAATTAAATGGATTAATAAAATTATAATTCTTAATAAATTAGAACAGTGACTGGTATAGTTAAGTACCTGTATGTATTAGCTGTAAAAAGTATGTGTTTTATTTTCCCTCTAAAAGAAAAAAAAGATTTGTTTGTTTTCTAATATTTTATACTGAAAAAGAAAGTACAGAGTAGGAAGCAGGAGACAACAGCAGAATCATTTAGTTATAGGTAAACGTAGCTGACTATTCATTCTTGGTATGGTATAAAATTCTGACTTCTGTCTTTGAGTTGAAAATAAAAACATCATATTCTATATGTCAGAGGAAGAAGCTTGAAATATGGCATTGCTTTTCTTTTTCTCAAGTTTAGAAAAAGGAATGAATTTTGACAGTTGTCAATCATTTGTTTTCACTTGGCATTAGCAAAAATTTTGTTTCACTAAGATAAATGTCAGAGGTAAAAGGCAAGTAATTTATGAAAACTGTCCTCCTAAGTAACAACTTTCTTTTCTGTGTTTTTAAGGTTGATGATTCAGTGAGTGTAAATGACATAGATTTAAGCCTGTATATCCCAAGAGATGTAGATGAGACAGGTATTACTGTAGCCAGTCTTGAAAGATTCAGCACATATACTTCAGAAAAGGATGGTAAGTATGCTAATTTGTGTGTAATTTGAAGAACTAGGATTCTGTCTAAAGAGGGAAGGGGGTAGTTTAGACCACACTGGCAAACTTGGATGCCTGCAGGGACCAGACTGGCAACATAAATGTGTGGTTTGACTGTATATAGAAATAGTGAACAGTGGAAGCTGTAGAAATGGGTGACGGTGGATATTGAAGCCATTAACTGAAACTAGAAGGGGACAGAAATGAGTTTGGAGATGTAGGTAATCAGTTTGGGATCTCATGATACGAGAACATTCTAGAACACACTGCAGACCTCAGTGTTCTGGAGTAGTCAAAAGAGGGAAAGCTTAGGAAAGACACTGAGAAGGACAGAGGAAAATTAAGAAAGAAGTTTCAGAAAAATCAAGTAGGATGAGAACTGGAAATAATTCTTCAGTTGCTGTTAGGGAAGAAGTTGTAGGAACAGGGTACCAGTTTTCATCAGGACTGCAATGATAAAGGAATGAGGAGAAAAATAAGCACATATGCAATAGTGCCATGACTGAAGAGTTTGCAGAGAAGTGAAAGTTCAGCATGGTTAGTATGAGAGAAAAAGGTAGGAAGAATACTAATCAAGGCAAAGGTTGAGAGAGCAAAACTAAAACTTATTTTTACAATAAAGGAATACAAGTTATAACTTGAAAAACTGGCTTGCCTTCCTGAGATCCAAGTGCTGTAAGACAATATTGTCTTAATGCCAGTATGGAGACCGATTTGCTCCTTTTACAAGTAGGACTTTGGTGACAGTAGGTATGATTGTAAGAACTTCCAAGGCTATAATCCCTAAGATTTTTGTGATCAGAGATGTTTGAAATAGCTAAAATCTACATTAGGCTATTAAAAATTATCTTTGTGTAAATACTGGTGTCACGAACACAAAAAGACTGCATTTTTGTTTTCTCAGTCTTTTCGAGCCTGTAAGGAAAAGTAGCTGCATAGCCCTAGTCTAGGTTCTTTTTTCACAGCTTGATGACAGGATGAAATGTTTTTGGATTCACATGTATTTGCACCGTTACAACTAGTGTGATTTAACTACTGTTACCCCAACCAAAAGCTAAGTAGCTGCTTAAAACATTTTTTGATTCCATAATTATTTATTCAAATAAAATATGTGGAAGTTAACCGTTTAAAACCTAATTGCTAGGTCAGGTAGGAAACAAAATTGTGTAAGGTAAATCTTGTTCTCAAATGTATAGACTGTTAAGCAGTTAAATGTCTATAGTACAAGACATACCTTACACTAGGTCTAGGTAATTGTCACAAATAAGCTTAGAAAAAGAAAGATCAGTTCTTGGTGGAATAATCTTAGGGAAGGCTTTCATGAGAAAAGGAAAAGAAATGTAGTATCAAGTCTGTGACTATCAATTGCTAATGGAATAGTGTTTTTTGTTTCTGGGCCTTATTGATTTCAATATTTATTTTTAGAAAACAAATTAAGTGAAGCTTCCGGAGGTAGGGCTGAAAATGGTGAAAGAAGTGATTTGGAAGAGGACAACGAAGGGGAGGGACAGGAAAATGGAGCCATTGATGCTGTTCCTGTTGATGAAAATCTTTTTACTGGGGAAGATTTGGATGAACTAGAAGAAGAATTAAACACACTTGATTTAGAAGAATGACACCAAACAAGTCTGAAAAAATTAAGCCAGCTCGGCATGAGTTGAAATTGACTACAGTAATTTTTTTCCACCTAGAATTCTTCAACAGGATGTTTATTTCCCATGCTGATTCTGGAGGGCTTACTCTCCTCCCAAAAAGGAATATTCTCCCTACGTCTTGTCTTCTGACTTTGGCTACATCTCATAGTAAGTTCAGAGTAGTTCATGATAAATTGAAAATATAATGGTCATTGCAGAAAATGATTGTTGTAACTGTCCATTCAAGTAGGAAGTGTAACTGCTTTTCCAGCTTTTGATTTTCATTGGGCATGTATTATAAGAACAACATAAATTTAAATTTAAAATACCTTTCATTTAATGCAGTTTTTAATGAGTGATTTCATTTTCTTTGTATTTATATGTTTTAAAGACTGCCTTTAAAATATGAGCACTGTATTTCATAAAGGAAACTGCATATGCAGATTCAGTATTGTATATCTTGGGACAATTAGATGGACATATAAAAGGAAACTTCTTTAACCTGACAGAATCAGCTGCAATGCCCTGTGTTAAACTGTTTTAAATGTTTCCCTCTTCTTTTTTGCCAATAAAGTTGTAAATAAAGACCATCATACATTAAAATCCAAATATGGTCCTTTTTTTTTTAAGTTTTTATATGAATATTTTTGTAAAACCTGTAGCTTAAGGATTTTAATTAAATATTATATCTTATAGTTACCACAGAAGGAACAGACATTTAAGGATTCTCTTAACTGGATATGGAACTGTGTAGAAGAATACTGACAGTACTACTATGAGTTTAGTAAACTGTTATGAATTTGGCCTTAAGAAGAGACTGTAGGTAATGCTACAGGCAAGTCTAATTTCCTGAATTGATAGATACCAGCCTAATTAAATATCATCCTACAGTTGAGCTAAAAACTGCTTAGCATCATTGTGGAGATGGCTGATATTATAGTAGTATATACTGAAGTTTGATTACTATGAAAGCATGTAAACAAATCCACCAAAAAACTGAGCTGAGGGTCTTTGTCATTGAGTTCCCATGAAAAATTAGGGTGATACATTTAAAATAATTTTTTTTGATGTTTATTTTTGAGAGACAGAGTGTGAGTGGGGGGAGGAGCAGAGAGACAGGGAGACACAGAATCTGAAGCAGGTTCCAGGCTCTGAGCTGTCAGCACAGAGCCCTATGCAGGGCTCAAACCCACAAACCATGAGATCATGACCTGAGCCGAAGTTGAACCACCCAGGCGCCCCAAGGGTGATACATTTTAAATGGACATAATTTGCAAATGACAGATTTGTACTAGTTAACACCTTTCTGTCACTTTATTTTCAAATATTAGTACAGTGCTTCTTTTGTTATCTGCAAGTATAAATGGATTTTAAAGCAATCAAGATAACATAGTATTAACATGTCGGGTGACCTGAGCCCTAATCTCATTTTTGCCTCAGATAAATTGTATGATTTTTAAATCTGAATCTTAGTTTCTTCATCTGCCTATAGCAGTTAAAGTGCTTCTTAATTGTAAAACCTAAGAAAAGATTATTATAAATCTTGTCAAATGATATCAAAGTTGATAATGAAATAGACTTTCTATCAATTCAGTACTAGTACTGATACTTTTCAGATATAGAACATGAGCCAAGTTTATTTCCCATATGCAATGAAAGTATACTGAAATACTCTGCATATAAAAAGACTGCTTGAGTTTTAAAGTTTTTATCTATGAAAGATTTGTTTCTTTATACAAAAGTTTTAAATGTTAGTAATTACTATTTTAATAATGAAACATTTTCAGAATAATCCAAAGAGCTTAAATCTTTCTAAAGCTATAACCCAAGCAATCTTTTTTTTTTTTTTTGAAGCCATCTAAAACTTTTCTGAATAATTATTTTTACCTTAGACCCTACCTTTAGTCCATTTACTTTAGACTGTAAGGCGTTTGTGTGTATGTTTAATGTATATGGTATAAAGTATTACTAGCTTGGGGCACCTGGGTGGCTCAGTCTAAGTGTACGGACTCTTGGTTTTGGCTCAGGTCATGATCTCATGATCTCACAGTTCAGCAAGATCAAGCGCTGCATCAGACTTTGCTCTGACAGCTCAGAGCCTGCTTAGGATTCCCTCTCTCACTCTCTGCCCCACCCCCGATCGTGCATGCACATGCACACACACACTTTCTCTCAAAATAAATAAATAAACATTAAATAAATAAATACTATTTTACAGCAAACATGATTTTGAAAACCCACATTTTCTTTAATAAGTGAGTCAAAGAGATGATGCTACAGTGGAGGCAATTTTTGATATCTACAGTTCCTTAAATCTAAGGTGGTCTTCATCTATCTTGCCCTTAGGTTTCTTCCATTATAAATACAATCAAAAATGTTCAGAGAATGCAAAAGTATTTTAATATGAGAAAAAGTACAAAATTAAATCTGCTTCTAAAATAACATTTCAGAGGCCAGTAGATAGAGTTTTGTATTGTTCACAGTACAGTTACCTTATATTGGTACAGTAAATGTGAAAATGGCTCCTCTTTTCAAACCCATTTGCACATAACTTTAAGTAGTTTTTTCTTACAAATCGTTCTTTTATGTATATCCCATGGTTAACAGTACATCTCTGTAATCTAATTTCAGTTATATAGCGTAGCTTCATTTTTAAAGTTTGTGGTTTATGGGACTCCTGGGTGGCTCAGTCAGTTGAGCTTCTGACTTTGGCTCAGGTCATGATCTCACGGTTCACGATTCAGGCTCACTTTGGGTTCTCTGCTGTCAGCGTGGAGCCCACTTTGGATCCTCTGTCTACCTCCCCTCCCCAACTCATGCTCTCTGTCTTTCTCTCTCTCTCTCTCTCTCTCTCTCTCATAAATAAATAAATAAATGAATGAATGAATGAATGAATGAATGATTGATTGATTTGTGGTTTAAACATTCAGAACTTAACACTGTTAAACCTTCCTCAGAAGGGGAACTATGGCTTTGCACTTATTTCCTTATAGTCTATAAAATGAGATTCTTTTCCCAAATGTAACAACTTCTCATTTTCTCCTTAACGTAGGAGATTTCATCAGTCCTCACTCTTTTTATCCTATTTACCATTTCTTTGGTAGTTAATCTCTAGAGAATACTAATGTTTTCAAAGGAACATACATCAGTTTCATTCTACATGTGCAGATTTCTACCTGTGAATCCTTGAAATTATCTCTTTTTTTATCTTAGTCTTAAGGATCTGTATTTCAGTGACAAAGGTCATCTTACCACCTTTACTACTCTACATATTCTAAGAATTTTATGGTGTTTCCATATTTAATAATTATTCATTTTGAGTAAATTTGTCTGTAGCATGTATAGAAATGTAGTATCAAAGAATGCATCATTGAAAGTACTTGAGTAATGGAGACCCCTCAATTTAAAAGTACAGTGTATAAGGGCACCTGGGTGGCTCAGTCGGTTAAGCATCCAACTTCAACTCAGGTCGTGATCTCATGGTTTATGAGTTCGAGCCCTGCGTCAGGCTCTGTGCTGACAGCTCAGAGTCTGGAGCCTGCTTCAGATTCTGTGTCTCCCTCTCTGCCCTTCCCCCCCACCCTCCCGTCTCTCAAAAATGAAAAAAAAGTTTAAAAATTTTAAAAAGTGTAGTGTATAATACACTAATTGTGTAGATCTCTTCATGTTTGTGCATTATTGTATATATTGTGTGTATTTCACTTAGAAAAGTTCTGTGTAGAAGAAGTAGAATTCATTGCATTAGTCGGAATGTTCATCCTTGAAATTTTACTCAGTATTGAATAGATAATGAAAATAAAGACTTAAAAAGAAAGACTAGTAACTGTATCCATTTCATAATTTTGTGAATTAACATGAGTGAGAAGCCAGTTAATTTGTGGAGACAATGTATAACTATACCAGCTGTCACCCATTCAGTTGTATTCAAGCTAGATTAGCCAACTACATTGGTGGCTCACTCCATGGATCATTTTCTTCTAATATGCTAAGAATTATTAGCTATTTCTATATCTCTTGCACTGATTACCCATCATGGGAGGAAAAGTAAATATTTAATTAACCTCTTTATACTCCGGATCTGTCTTCCACCCCTGGAGGGGTGGAAATTAATTGCTAATAGCTGCAGCCTATTTATCTTCAATAAAAAAGTAGGACCAAAAAGAATTATGATATAATCTAGTTTGGGCTAATCATTGCCATTTGTTAATTACTTGCTTGGCCTTCTACATTTTTTTCCCCAGCTCAGTCTTTTAATGGGAAGGGTAAAGCCTCAACTATTTAATATGCAGCCTTCAGGAACCCTTAGATGTGTGAAATGGCTTATATACAGGAGACCGCATTCATCCCTGACACCCATCTTACCCCTCCCCTCTCCCAAGAAGATTTTTTGGCAGCAAAGAATTATTTTTAATTATTGATCATTCAACATTAGAGGTAACTAAAAAATTATTTAATTTGTAGGTTTATTACCCATGTGGTTTCAGATTGATGATATGTATAAAAGTCAACACCATATGAAGGATAAAAGTAGATACACTTTATTTAAAAAGCCAGTAGAATCACTATTAAAATTGACAGGGAACTATCAACACAGGTGAGTTATCTATAAGAAAATAGTATTTAGAAGACTGAGAAGACATTCACTGGAACAAGTAGTCTTATAACGTGCTAGTCCTAGAATTCTATGGGAGTGCCTAGGTGGCTCAGTCGGTTGGTTAAGTGCCTGACTTTGGCTCAAGTCATGATCTCGTAGTTGGGTGGGTTCAAGCTTAGAGCCTGGAGCCTCCTTCAGATTCTATGTCTCTCCCTCTCTCTGCTGCTCCCCAACTCGCACTCCATCTCTCTCTCAAAAATAAATAAACATTTAAAAAAAAGAACCGTATATCCATATATAGCATGTTACTGTACAAACAATATTCTTTAAAAACAAGAGAAATGGTTTAGGATCAATTTTCTTAATTCATTTGCATGAAGTCAAAAGGTTTCATCTGGGCAAGAGCATAAATACACTTTTGATCTTTTACATGTGTCATGTGCATGTAAAAGGAAGAACGAAATCGTTTAAGGTTTCTAAAACTGGGTATGAGAACATCGTACTTGATTATTACAAACAAGCATGATGAATTCCACCTGATAAGTTCACTTTAAATGAAATACATTAATGCTAACTATAACATTTGAAAAAGCACAGTTCCATGCCCCCATATTTCAAATTTGAAGAATATCACCAGACACTTAGCAATTAATTTCAATCAGCTATT